GTCTGTTATGACGTTCTTCAGGCGTCGGTTTTGTTCAAGACATTTGTCACCCTAGATTGGCCGGTCTAGCTGTAGCGAACAATGAAGGTGTGGGGTGTCAACCCTGTATAGATCTATACACAAACTCCCACTCTCCCTCCAGGAGATTCTGGTTATAACTCTTACAGGGCTTAAAGCGTAAAATATTTTATTAATATTTGTACTGTGAAGATTTGTCTGACTAGAATACTAACAGATCATTGAGCATATCATGAAAACCATTATTTACTAAATAAATAATAATAGTTGTAGTCGTAACTAGATATTTCATTTCGTTCGTTTCGTTTGTTGGAATCAATCCACTTTGAATACTTATCAAATTGATCCAATATTATCGAAGCCGACAAACAGCCCTTTTCTTTATAAAATATTAAGCGCGACTCAATTTGCCGAAAAATGCCAAGTTATGATTTGTATCAAAACTATGACTTGGGTGAAGTTATGACAACAACTTTATGACATGCGATTTTTCTATCATAAAGGCTCCATTTGTGTATTTCCTTGGTGAAATAATTTATATCAAATATTTATAAATAATTCCTAATAGTTTGCAAATAGTCCTTACTAGGACACAAGGCTCTAATTTTTGAAGATTCTAGAAATATTGTTAACATTTCAAGGTTTATATCAACCACTTTTTGTTTCTAGATATGAAGACATGGATAAAGGGGGTATGTTGGACAAACCCAAAAACTTGGGAGGCTCTTATGAAAACAAGTATTATTTATGAGGTGATTCATGAAATATTATTTTATACTTCCAAAGATGTTGAAATTTCATGCTCATGGGAGTTATAATAAAATAATAGTAATATTTTAACACACATACCAAACATAGGTTCACATGTAATTATTCAAGAAATTTAAAGCAAGAGTTGACTTGTACTCTCCCCCAAAAATACTAAAACATTGAAAAAGGTGGGGTATGAAGCTCACCTTGGTTAACTTGCTGGGTGATTTGAAGAGAGGTGAGGAAGTTTCCAAGCTCCAAAACTTGGAAGATTCTTAAATCTTTAGAGTACTCTAAGAATAATTTTTATGTGTAAATATAATGAATCTTAGAATAATGTGAAGAATTATTATTCAAAAGGAATAAAATACTTACAAAATAAATTTGGAAATTTTCTTTGAAGAAGATGAGAGTTGAAGCTTAAGTAAGTGGAGAGCACCCTTAGGAGCTTTCTGGAAATGAAAATGGGAAGTGGAACTTGGGGAGGAAGGGTTCACATATCTAAATGGGGAGGATAAGGGTGACTTGACATTTGCATGGAGGGCTGGTGGATAAACTTCATTTTCTATGGGTAATGTGTGTTTTACTGAGATTTGCATGTGAAAAGAGGGATTTACATCACATCATAAAGTCAAACCCCTTATCTACTTAGAATCTATTCAAAAACCTTAGGTATTATTTTTATATAAATATGTTTAAAATAATCAATTTTGGCATAAAATAGGAGTTTAAGGGGTTTAGGATATGAAAAATATTGGTTTGGAGGAATTTTCGATGTCAAAATGTTCATAACTGAAGAAATGGTCCAAAATGAGCAAAAATCTGAAGCCTAGAAGTGAATTTCGGAGTCCATATTGAATTTCCGGAGTCATCTAACTAGTTCCGGAGTCACAGGCGAAGTTCTGAAGCTGAGTTTCAATTTCCGAAAGGCTCCTCTCGGATCCGGAATCAGGTTCACATTTCTGGAGCATTTCCTCGATTTCGAAGTCAGGAGGCGGAGTCAGCGGTCCGGTACGAGGTGGGAAGCCGGCTGGAATTTGCGAAGCGGCCTTAGGCGAGATCTTCCAGAGCCAAGAAGCTCTGAGGTGCGAGATTGTCCGGTATTAGGTCTTTCCGGAGCATCTTTATAACGAAGTCAGTTTAGAGGGTTCCGAAAAGGGGGTGAGGGGGAGGGGTGTTCCGAAGCTTATTTAAGGAGTTCCTTGGGCATGTTCTTTCAAGCTTTACTTCTTTCATATAAGCTGAAATTTGAATAAGGAAGGGTTACATCGGGAGATTTAAGAGAGATTTAACTTACTTGTAGAGGTTTAGGAAAGATTTCACATACTTAGAGAGATTTGGGAGAGATTTCACATACTTGGAGAGATTTAGGAGAGAGATATATATAGTGGGATAGATTGAGAGAGACTTTGTTGGAGGCATTTATTAATGTTTTTCTTCATTGAGCAAGGACTTTAGACTTAGTTACTCCCTCTTTTGAGTGGTATATACCCTCGAAGGGTACTTAATAGTACTTTATAGAGCTGTTACTTCTCTAAATTAGATTAGGGTTTTAAATTTTGAACATTTTGGATTCCAAGTGTTACTTTGCATTAGGATTCATAGTGGTACATTAGTAACATAAATAAATCCTTAACATATAAACACTAGTTGAGTTGACCAGATTGACTTGTTGACCTTGACTTGAATTTGACTTGACCAGAAGCTTGCTGGTTGTCACATGTTAGATGCATAAAGGTGACATCTTGATGATGGTTTGGACTCTATGCACAACTTAAGTCTTAAATGAGGTCTTAAAGGAAAGTGTGGACTATTGGAGTCATTCATGGGATTTAAGGGCATAACGTTGCCAACTTTATGCCCTAGGACATCTTATTAATCCTAGATATGAAGTTGGACGTTGAGAACTTAAGTATGAAGCACTTAATGGTCGTTTAGTGCATAGCCTGTTTGTACGTCGTGCGTAGCTAGTTGTACACTGCACGTACAGATTCTCAGTCAAGTCTGTTGGACATACTGAAGTGGTACGCAGGGTGTACGCACTCCAGATTGAATCTTGGGCATTGTGTGGGCTTGTAGGCATAGTGGGCTTTAATCATTGTTGGTCTTGGTCCCATTTAGATTTGTGAGCTAATATTCTGAATCGGGCCATAATTGTATTAGTGAGGCCTTATTGGTCCATGTGGCCCATTAATAGTTTTATCATGGACCTTAGGCCCATTATCAAAGGGAAGACCTTTGGGTCACTATGGAAGAACTTGGGCCTAGGTGTTTGGAATCTTTAATTAGATTATGTTATAATCCTAATTTAGATTTTATGGTATTATTGTTCAGTATGTGAGTTCAGATTGTTAGGCAAGCAGCGTTAGGGTTCAGCTAACTGAGGTGAGTTTTCTCATCATACCAATGGGTCGAAGGCGCCAATGCCAGTCCATCTTCTTATGTGTAGTGAGTGGTTGATATGCATTGTATTCTTAGTAGTATTGACTGATTTATATGAAGACCATGGGGGGAGCCCATTGCCCTAGTTATCAGACTCTTGGGGAGCCTAGGGCATTTAAGGTAAAGATCATCAGGGGAGCCCATGGCACTTGGTTGTTAGACCATTGGGGAGCCCATGACATTTCAAGTAAAGACCATGGAGGAAGTCCATGGCAATTTATGTTGCATATCTGTTGTATGTTTTCTGTGAATATGTGTATTGGGTATTTTGGGAAAAACTCACTAATAATTAGCTTACAATTTTGTTGGTTGTGTTCAGGTACTTTGGGATCTAAGGGCAAGGGCCCGCCATGGAAAGTAATATGGACCTGACTAAGCTCCTCCGGGAGATCTAGTCTATAAGCCACCTTGTCAACCTTGGCAATGATCATGAATGACCCAATGTATCGGGGACCCAATTTCCCCCTCTTCTTGAATCGAATCACACCCTTCCAGGGTGAGACCTTCAGGAGTACCATGTCACCCACCTGAAACTCCAGCTTAGATTGGCGTCTGTCAGCGTAACTCTGCTGTCAACTCTGAGCGGTCTGCAACCGCTGTCTGATTTGCTGAATCCTCTCGGTAGTGTGCAAAACTACCTTTGTCCGTCCCATCATCCAGTGACCGATCTCACCCCAACAGACTGGGGTGCAACATCTCCGTCCATACAACAACTCATATGGTGGGGCACCCATACTGGAATGAAAGCTGTTGTTGTAGGAGAACTCTGTAAGGGGTAGGTAGGAATCCCATACTACTAGAAAAATAGCCTTTTATGACGCACAATGCGTGTCGTAAAGCACTCAGACGACGTGCAAATGCATGTCAAGGAAGACCCTGTCATAACGAGAGACGACATGCTTTTGCGCGTCGTCTATAGGCAACGCGCATTTACGACGCGTAATTACGATACACATTTACAACGCTCATTTACCAGACGCAATGCATATCAAGGAAGGCCCTGTCATAAAGGAAGACAACACACATTTGTGTGTCGTAACCTTACAACTCACATTGCGTATCATTAAAGCCCCTTTCAAGAAAGGCCATGTCATAAACAAAGATGACACACCTTTTTGCGTATCATAATTTTAAATGTTTAAAAAAAATATTATTTATAGATTTACTAGTTTTCAAATTAAATTTGCATTTAATGTCTCATAATAGAAAATAAAATATCATATACAAAAAATACAATCCACTACATAAAATTTAATGTAATACAAATAATCGTTCCCTGGAAAAATAAAACAAATCAATAGAAGTTGTAACAGAAATTTACAAACTAATAGTTCTAATAACCTAATGTGTGCCTCACTGTAAACAATATTTGTGCTGATTTTTTTTAAATGTGTGCCTCACTTGTCTCCACTCTTCCTTAATAACACCACTTAGGGACACTAAATCTATGAACTTGCTCATAGTATCTATATTGCCTGCAAAAAAAACATAACTACAAAATAAGTGTGAAGATGGATTATTACAATGTAAGAGAAGTAAATAACCTTGAGCTTCCTCCAATAAGACACATGTGTAGTCAGACTTGATACAGGCTTCTAGTAAATTTATATAATTTTTATTAAAGTCTTTCTTCAGCTGCAAAACCCTCCATCATGTATACAATGTCCTTCCAATGCTTCCTTGGCTACAATAGCTGTTTAAACATCTTGAATTTATACTTTTTTTTTAACATTTTACAAAATTATATTATATATAATAAGCTTCTCAACACTTGTTATCAAAAATATTGATTAACTCTCACTAGGGTATTGAATTAGAGCTTGAACTCCACCATCTTTGTCAAACATTTCTATCTTTAAAACAAGCCCAAAAGTAGAAAATACCTGCATGTTTTCAATAGAAGCAAGAAGAACATTACCCTCATATTCAATCTTCTTTCCATCTAAACCTAAACTAAACTGCAAAATTAACAAACTAGTAAGCATAATACAAGTATAAATATAAAATACAACAAAAACTTGAGTGATTTTACAAAACAATCCTTCAAGTTGTTATAAAGAATAATGACTTTACTTGACCAGTAGCATCTGTTGCTGAAGATGCAACAGGAAGCATAGGATTTGTATAGTCCCTGAATAAATATAAAGCTTATTAGGAGAGGGGAAAACCATCATAAAAACAAATCAAGTCGGAAAGATATAATATTGTCTTATACCTGCTATGATGACTCTATAATTTTACACTGAAATCTATATGTGTATAAGAACACAAGGTTCTTAGCGACATATCTGATATGAGTCTCTAGAGTAACCGATCTTTGTTCTTTAAAAAAGTGTTTGTTAAAGGAATTGGGTACTATATCAAGCAACACCCATTGTTAAATTTATATAATTTTTATTTAAAAAAAAAGTGTGGAGGATTTGATGATGAGTTAGGAGTTTTGTTCCTTTAAAACTCATCAACTCCAGGGTTACTTCTCTGTTTGATTGCTGAAGAAACTGAAGATGGGAGGAAATCTTTACCTATATAAGAACAATATACTCCTTATCGTGTGTAATTAGGGTTCCTCCAGTTAACCACTGAAATATTTTCATGTTGGAGAAAATAAATATGCCAGTGTTAATGTTAATTTGAAAGAAAAATACCATATTCAAGATGCTTTAATATTGGTATCAAATCCAATTAACATAACCTACAATTCTTTAGCCATTAACTCACTATTAGTATTCTGTACTCCTTTCTTAGCAGCAATCTTTGCAATCTCACATTTATCCCAAAGCTTTAGAATAGCTGTAGCCAATCTGTGATGTTTCCTATTTCTACCTGATACTATCCAAACAGACATATTTTAAAATAAGAACATATAGAACTAGAATTTGGAGTGAGACTGACTAACCTAAAGAAAAAAGACATGGTAAAGGCCTTCCAAGTCTTCTAAGAATTGTCATCTCATCATTCGTTAACTTTGGTTGAAATCCAAAGGGGAGAAGCCTGAAGGGTTTCCTGTATCCAAGAACAACTTACAGGTAGAAAATCAACATCAATTGGTAAAGGTTCATATCCATACCAATCAGTGAACCTTAGACCCAATCCTTGCAAAAAACTAATCGGATTCTTCCATGAGCTGTTTCTCACCAGGTAGTTGAAATCGAACCCTGGTTCTTGAACCCACCCTTGAATCAAAGGTGGCTCTGGCTTAGTTGTTGTTCTTGTTTGAACACCATTATCTTCAGAGTTTGTAGATGAACTTATTAGTTCATCAATAGATGCATCATTTAGTTTTACAAAGAATTAAGGATACTTGTAGTATGTTCCTCTGTACAATATGATAATGCTTCTAGATCTCTAGACAACTAAACCCCCAATCTTTCTCTGAGAAAAAAGCCCCAATGTTGATCATTATGACAAAAAAGAATATCCAAGGTCAAGAAAAAGTAAAGCATTTGAGTTGATTTTGAATTTTGGACTAGTTGTTTGGAAGGAAGGAGTATTCAGTGGTGTTTGTAAACAATATTTGTATACTACAAGAGAATAGACATTTTTTTATCTAACCTCAAGTAAATCATGCGTTCTCCTCATGTTCAATCTACACAAATCCTCACAGATAATCTTTACGAGCTCAATCCTTCTCCACCTCTCATGGATTCCATTAACGATCCCCTCTGTGATACCGGCCTTCCCAATCTTAAGCTTCTACAAATGAATCAAGGTTACTATGTGCTTCTATGTCACTTTTTTTCTTCACCATCAACAACAGACATGTTTTGAACTTGCCTATCCCAAATCTCCTATCATTTTTCTCATGTTTGTTGTTGAAGCTGCAAGAAAGACGTCCTTTGACCATCAACAATAGACATTTAAGTATTAAAGAAAAGGAAGATAAAGATAAAGATTAAAGAAAAGTGAAAACATACATTTTCACTTTTCAAGACCTGAATCCACAGAAGATTCTGCATTTGTTGGAGTTGTTGCCGTTCTTTCCCCATTTGTAATTCAAACTCTTCAAAACGAATAATCTTATCATGAATCTCCTGGACCTATAATAAAAACCCATAAACAAGAAATCATTTTAATCCCAAAAACTGAAAGTGAAATTCAATTTCAATTAACTAGGGTCACTTTGGTTTATATTTCATCTCCAATGGGTTAAATGGGTGTATTAAAAAGTCTTAGAATTTTTATTTCAAATAAAAAATACCTGAACTTCAACAATATTAGAAATTGTTTTTACCAAATCCTATTCTTCCTTCTCCAGTTGTATTTTTGCCTCAAGATATTTTCCTTCCAATGAATTTTTTTTGTTCTTACAATTTGTTGTTACAGAATCTTTACCAAAAAGAAAACAATTATGATTTAGAGAGATTTAGAAAAAGAAAAGTTGATTTATATATAGTGCTAAAATATATACTACCTTGATCTTTTGCATAATCAACAGATGATTCAAGAATTTCTTTACTAGTTTCATAGTTGACACTACAAGAAAAATAGCCTTTAATGATGCGCAAACAGTGACACTCTCTGATTCACGTTACACATTTTTGGGCGTCCTTAAAAATAATGTCAGACTTCCAAAATTTGAAGGATAGTGGACACACATTTTTTGCGTGCCCTTAAATTAGTGTCTCAAAAAAAAACACGGACGACGCTTTATCTTAAACGTGCATCTTCTGTAGGTGTCGCTTTATAATTTTAGTGAAACGTGCCTTGAGAAGATAAAGGGGGAAAACGAAACCCTAAAATTTTGAAAACCCGCCTTTCTTTTCTACCTTCTTTTATTCATCTTCAAAACCGACTCTCCCCTCTTGTTTCTCTATTGTGAGAAGTGACAGAAAGAAGGGAGACTAGGATGGATTTGCCGGTGATGATGAACGGAGGTGCTTTCTAGTCAATTTCGGAGATGGCGTTGTCGATTTCGATGGTTGTTTCCCTCTTGCCCTAATCACATTGTGGTCGCGAATCACACACCGCTAGGCAGTGGAAGAAGATGATGAAGTTTGTCATTGTCGTATGCCGCCCTCCCTCGCTGTCTCTAACTATCTCTGACCTTTCTTTATTCTTCACTTCTATGATCATCTCATCTTCCTTCATCTTCTCAGTTTTCCATCAGGTAATTATCAGGTTCACTCATGATACTGAACTTCGTAAAAGAGTTCTTCTCGGGTCTTAGCATCTTCCTGGGTAGCTGAACTTCTGTCATCGCTCGGGATCGATCTTAGCCTCCTATTCACCCCTCTACAGCCTTACATGTAAGTCCACACCACACTTGTTCTTATCTTGTTCTGGAAAATCAAGAAACATTCGAAAAACCTTAGGGTTTCGCTTCTTATCATCGGTAAGGTCGCGTTTCTTCTTTTTAGTACTAGGGCCTCGTTTGTTATCATCGGTGAGGCCTCATTTCTTCTTATCAGTATGGGATTTTTTCTTGGCTGAGGGGCCAGATTGACGAGAAATTATTAATGCCCTTAAACTGTTCGACAAATTGCTTATCATTTTGTGTGCGTCTACCTATCTAAGAAATTAAACAATACACATACACAATTACACACTATCCTAATTTCATAACTTGAATGATTTCCTATCCTAATATGATAATCTCTCTCCTTTCTGAAACACGAAAGATCTCTTTCAGGTCTTGGAACTAAACGAGTCAGCTTAATTGGGCTTGGAAAAGCCCTAATAACTTCATCTTCTTCCGTTTCTGCTTATCGAAGTCTTGGTGAATCTGTTGCTTTATCTGCTAAAACTTCTTAAGCTAACAATGTCGTTGTTGCTCTTGCTTCTTCACAAGACTTAACTCCTGGATTGAAGCTTACAACTGCCTCAACAATAGCAACTGGTATATTCCATTCAAGAAATAACAACCTGAATGCTCAAATTTTGATCTAAGTATTGCTTACAGATTCATACTATCTAAGATGATTATGGTGAGGTATAAAATAGTTTTTTTTTGTCATATTAAGGTCATTAAAGAAGTTAGCACCTGTCTTTCTTTCTATAGAATTATAGTGTTATCCAGTTCAGAAGTTCACCCTGTTGATGCTCCTCCTGTTACTCAAAGTTTTATTTATTTATATATCTTCTTAATTTCATTTTTTCGATTATAGGTGTATTGTTAGGGACATATGAAGATAACAGATTTAAATCTGAGTCAAAGAAACCTTCTCTCAAGTCAATTGGCTTTCTTAACCTTGAAGGTTGACCCGAGGTAGAAAAGAAACTCAAGTACACAGAGCATGTTTGCTCAGGGGCAATTTTGGGAAAAGATCTTGTAAATGCACCTCCCAATGTACTCAACGCTGGTTTGTTATCCTTCTCATTTTCAATTGTTGATAGAGACATAGAGTTAAAATATAGTTTTTCATTTTTCATTTTTAATAATTGTAACAGGGGTATTAGCGGAAGAAGCTGAAAAGATTGCTTCAACAATCGATTGTGATAAGTTATCTGATATAGGGTTTGGGACAACGGATTGTTTAGGACATGTTGCCCTTGTAACCGAGCTCATGAAGAAGACAAAGCCAAAACTTAAATCCAGTGTGGTTGCTGTTTACATGAATGTGGTGTGAGATAAAGTCAACGTCTCTTTTGCTGCCATGTGACAACTATTACTACTGGCCAGTATCAGAAGGTATAATGTTTTTTTTCTTGGTCAAATTTATCGTTTGATTAAGAAATCACGATTCCACATAAAACTCTTATTAAACAAACAAATAATCCTTTTTCTCTGTATCTAACTAGTTACTTTATGAGATAAAAATAGTAAACCCACTAAAGCTTGTTTTTGGCCTTTCAGATCGCATGCTTGAGTTTAGAAAGTAGAAGCTACTTGTGTACTCGTCCCCTGCTGCTGCTACTTCAGATGAGATCAATGTTTGGTCCTGACTTAGTATGATCGAATTACATATGAAATTGACAGATTAATCGAAAAGATTATTCCATCCAATAAGTTCTTAAAGGAATCAGTTTGTACTTTTGATTTTCATAACAATTTTAGTCCTTGTCGTAGTCCCAAGTAAAATGTCTTGATTGCCCTTCATATAGTCAGTCTGACTTTTACCTCCAACTTTAATTCTTTTTCTTTTTTGCTAACAACTCATTTGCGATGGTCATAAACTGATTGAAAATCATTTAGAGCAAAAAAAGATGTCGTCTATTGTTTAGTTTTCCATGTTAAAAGATTTTTGCAAGTATTGCTTTTTTTAAAAATCTTTGTCAGAAGACGATGTGACATCTCTTTTGATCAAAGACGCCAATAGTGTAAAGCTTTGGTCTCCTAATGTCACAACTAGAAATTCTATGTCTTGTAATCACTATACTCAAGTAAATGTTGAAATCAAAAACTCAAAAACAAGTATGATGCTTACTCAATGGGAAACTAAACCCTAATTCACTACATCAAACAATTGGAAAACCCTAGAAGTTCTTGTTAAGTCCATTTTGGACTAGAACTTCCTTATTGGATCCAAATGGACCAATAAGCTTCCAATTGGACTATCATGGGCTTAGAACCCTAATTGGGCTCTAATTGGACCCACATCTATTTATTTCAACATTTTGGGCCATGTTGGACCTAGAATGAAATAAATACAAAATTTTGAACCATGATTAACCTAAACTAGCCCAACAAAGTGTAAAAATCATACTACATTTCTTTTGGGACTAAAAACCATCCAACTTAACATCTACATGGGTTAGGACATTAAAGCCCAATTTTTTTTCCTTTCCATTTCAAATTCTCGGTCCAAAAGCCCAAAACCAAGAAGGAAGAGTTGACTTAAAGCCTTGCCACCTCACTTATATCCCACATATCTCCATGCATGGACCAACATGCATCTAGGATTGTCAACTCAACTCTCTCTCTTCTCTTCTTCTTGAACTCGGCCGAGAGCAACACCCACACACACACACAAAACACTCACAAACTCTCTCTAAATCACTCAAGGCTTCTTTCTTCTTCTCCATCCAAAATCTCGGGATTTAGGAAGCATTCAAGGAAGTTCTTCCACAAAAATCATCATCTAAGGTAAGGTTTTGCTTGGATCTATGACTTGTATTCCTTGTTTTATCAAAAATCTCTTCCTAATCCATGCAAAAATCGTGATCTTGCACTCTAGAAAACCCCATAAACTCGAAAACTTCATCAAGGAGTGCAAAGGCCAAAAATCACTTCATTTCTTCCATTCTTTCTTCAAAAACCGAATCAACACCCAAGGTGAGTTTCATACCCCCTTATTTTCGGTTTTTATAAGTTTTTGTGGGGGAGAATACAAGCAAAGGTGTAGATCCATCATTATGTGTATGTTGTGGTTGATTTCTATGCTTATATGTATGTTTTGTATGATTTTGATGATAGATCTAGTATGAAATGCTAAAAACAGAGACATGTATTTTATTATAGCATAAAATATACTACTACATGAAAAGTATACTAAGAAAAATGGCCAAATGGCTTGACAACACTTAATTTGGGCTAAAAACTCATTTTTTTTGACATACGAGTGGCGCCTAAGGGATCGCTTGTAAGGTTGTCGATTGGACGTTTTCATTAACGTACGTCACAACACTTCACCACCCATTGTATTCTCAATGCCTCCGGAGCTCAACGATTTCCTGTAACGCAACGAAACAATGGTATACAAACTAAGTAATGCAAAGTGATAGGAAAACGTCGGGTTTTCCTAGGGTTTTCAACAATTACAATTATGAATTACCGGTCGAATTTTCACAACTCTTACGCTTACATCTATAGAATTCAAACAAGCATACTCATGGATCAACACATATTTTTACACTATTCTATTTTTAGAAAATATCGGATTTTCTGATGGGTTTCAAACAATACATTGGATTTCAAACACTACTTATGAACTCACCAACATTTCATATGTTGATGTTTTCAAAATACTTGTATTCTCAGGTAACAGATAAGGTGAAGGATGATTTGTACTCTATGATGTTTGCTGTGGTTTAAGTGGTGTTGAACAGTTATTTTGAGAATGTAACGTTTGAACAATGTAACAAATGTAAACGCTATCGGTTGTATTATTCCAAATGTTGGTGATGTTTTATGTTATGTATCATGTATATGCATTGTGATGGTATTCAATGAGTCACAATAGCCCTCGGACGTTTCCGCCGTCTGGTTCGGGGGTGTGACAGGTTGGTATCAGAGCATTGTTTATAGTGAACTAGCATATCTAGCCACACATGGATATGCAACTATAAACCAAAAAGAGGGACTAAGATAACTCTGAACAAAACAAGTAAATAAAACACGCTTGCTTGTATTAGGAATAAGAACATAACGTCGAATCAAACACAATAATGCTGGTGTCTCGGTTAAATTGGGACTGTTCTTAGTAATACCAAGGAGTGAATGTAGCCTGATCAACTACATTCTCTCCAAAGTAAAACTAATACACGTCTTGATGAGATCGGGATTTCTAGGGAATCTAAAACTATACCCCTACCACCGAAAAGAGAACGTCTGTTTAGCTTGTGCCATAGCGTTAGAATCATAGGAAAGTGATAGCTTATTCGCATACTTTCTCTCAATCGTCATGGAGGGAGAGCATCAGGGAATTCAGTTCTTCCAAGCCCCTGAGGCACATGGGGTACTCGAAGACGAACCAGAGGGGAATCAAGAGGGAGTCCACGGCGTTGAACCTGACGAGTACATGGACACCGACTACGAGTTTGAGAAGACCGACGATGACATGGAGGAGGATCAGGCCCCGGACATGGGTCACGTCGTATCTCCTGTTAGCGAAGTGCAACAGGATCCCCACGTCCCACCAGTGAACTCCGCGAGAGAGAATCGCTCCCCAGAAGCCGTGATTACCGACTTACGGCAACAACTGTTCGCCATGGAAGCACGAGCCGTGCAAGCAGAGCTTGAGAGGGATGAGGTCATCGTAGACATGACAGAGATGGCGCAGCTGTTGACTCAGCACTTTGGCATATGATTTCACCGTTATAGTAGGACGCAACTCATCGCGGTTAGGGATAGACTTATCATAGTAGGTCGTTAGGAAATATGCTATGTACTCCGACTCTAAGTTTAAGTGACTACACTACTCATAGAGTCGTTATGCTGTCGAACTAGTATCACTCATGTATGCTCCTACGAGCAAATTTTCATGTATTAAATGCGGATAATATTAATAAATTTTTACGTGTTTGCAAATTGCTATGTGTTGAGATATTATTATTGATTGGTAAATGGTAGTAGTGTTTAAGTTCGTACCATGCACCTAGTCAGTAGGATCACGACCTCACCAAAACCACATACCCTCAACATCTTTCCGTCTTGTCACAGAAAGATGCCTCTCCGACCTACTCGCGGAAACCCAGGACCTACCCCACCTGAAGTTGACTCAGCCGCCTTCCAGGCAGCTGTATCTGCAGCAGTCACTGCAGCGATTGCGCAAATTCAACAAGGGAACAATGGAGGAGTCAATGGGCAAGGAGCCGGAAGTTCAAACAATGGAATGAATCAAGGACCCACCAAGGCATGTACCTACAAGGACTTCGCAAACGCCAAACCACGAACTTTTAATGGCACTGGAGGAGTGATCACTCTGAAGCGATGGATCGAAAAGGTGGAGTCGGTATTCGAGATATGCGACTGCCCTGAGCACATGAAGGTGAAGTTCGCAGCCTGCACTTTTGTGGATCAAGCACTCACCTGGTGGAACGGACATGTAGAATCCATGACACTCCCTGTAGCCAACTCTATGCCGTGGACGGAGATGAAAGAAATGTTAATGGCAGAGTACTGCCCACGAGGCGAAATACAGAAGATGGAACAAGAGCTGTGGAACCTCACTGTGCAAAACGCGAATATCGATGCCTACATATCGAGATTTAGCGAACTATCTCTGCTGTGCCCGGGTATGATCACCTCGGAAGGAAAGAAGATTGAGCGATTCATCTGGGGACTCACATCACCAATTCAAGGGAATGTGATAGCTGCAAACCCCGAAACATTTGACAGTGCAAAGAAACTGGCAAAAAGGTTGTACGACCATAATAACAAAAAGGGAGAGAAGCCAGTGGAGGCTGAGAAGACGAAGGAAGGAGATGGCAAGAGGGGAAAGAACAATAAGAGGAAGGGGCGCCAGGGCCCCGACACCTCCAAGAAGCAGAAGACAGTGGCGGTTAATGCCGTTACCACATCGGCTCCAGCCGCACCACATGCTCCAACCTCAGCCACTTCAAATGCTTCCAAACCTTATTCCGGTAATCTTCCCAAATGCAACAAGTGCGGTTTCCATCACTATGGAGAATGCAAGGATTTTCAGTGCACCAGTTGCAACCGAAGGGGTCACAACGCAAAGTACTGCAAGGCTTACCCTCCCCATAACCAAAATCAGGGAATCAACAACAACAACCCTCGCAACAACAACAACGCCCATGCCAGCGGCAACAGCGCAGGGCCTAGCTACACCTGCTACGGATGCGGAAGACTGGACACATCCGCGAGACTGTCCCAACAACAACAATTTAAGAAATGGAGGAACAGGAAGGATGTTGACCATGGGTCAGAGTGAGGCTATTCAAGACC